GAACCAGTTAATGACTCTTCTTTGGAGGAGATGGTTTTTCAGATGGCCGAGTAAACTGTTTTGTCAATTTATCCATTCTGACTATGGCAACCAACAGCACATCTAGGGCCATCTGACCACCTAACAGATTACTGAATGTGAGAATTTATCTGGGGAATTGTCAGGCAATTGATTCATATCCTGAATTTCAAAAGAATATTTGTATTTTGCAGACTGTGCCCTGTTTCGGGCATCAATGTCATTTCAAAAGTCTGACCTCGATGCAGAAAAACATGGAAGATTAAGAAGCCTTAATATGCAAGAACAACTATACTTTCCATAATGTTATGTAAGCCATAAATTGGGAGAAATGAGAAATTTGACAAGTCAAAGATAATTCATGCTTTCATTTCAGCTTACCTGGCTCAATTTCACAGCATGAAGAACAATATTAATTCTTATGATACAGCTGATCCTGGAAATATTGACTACAGACAGAAAGCCATGACATTTGAAATCACAACTTCATTACATTCTCAAGTAACAGTGTATCATCACAGAGGGATGTGTTTATTATTTTGAGATTAAGCCAGTTGTCTCTGGCAAATGAGCTTACTCGATAAATCTTTAAAGATACGGGAATGAATACGTAAAGAATACAGGACTTTTTCTTACGAAAAGAATACAGGACTTGCAATAGCAACTGTATAGCATAACAACAACAAATATGTTAACTGGTTCCTGGTAAGGTATCTCTAAATTCGTATTAATTTCATTGAGCCTTTCCTGCTTGAAAGGTAGTGAATGATGTGACATTTGGGGTTTTTTTTTTGCAATATCCCCCTAAAAGATTAGCTTTGTCCAGAAAAAGAACTAGTTTAGCTGTTATCAAGAACAAGAGGCAGAATTAGCCTTCAGGATGGATATTTGAGGCTTGAAATTTTTAGGCATGGCAAAAGGCCAGATCCTGGGTATATTAAATAGCAAGAAGTCGGCCAGCCACTGCCCTCACAACTACTCACCACACATTTCTGGTGACATCCTAGCACCACATGTAGAATGTAAAGAAGAAAAAGGCCACTAAATGAGTGAGAAACAAAACACACAGACATGCAGGTCAGCCCATTTAGTTAACCTTAAAGTTATTACTAAAGGGTCTATGAAGGATGGTTCTATGGGCAGAAAGGGTCTATGAGCAGGTTTGAGTTAACCGACCCAGTCTTGTATTTCTATGGCACAGGAGGAGAGAAGGGAGAGGGGGAGAGTACATCACTGAGCTACATGATCTCAAAACCTCGGCTAGCCTTAAACTTACTTATTCCCTCAAACAAAAAGAGTTTTTTAAATAAATGTAAATAAATACTTTTAAAACAGAATACAACTGTTTAAAAAGTTGAATTTATCATCAGTTTAGAATGTCATAATATGATATATGTGAGATTTGGCTGCTATCAAATACTTAACCTAGACAGAGGTCCTCTCCCTGAATAGGTTGGTATTTTATGAAATCTCAGAGGCACTTAATAATCAAATATTATTCTGCTTATAGGTCAGCATGTCCCTGCAATCTTGCTTTGAGTCTTGAGAGCTGCCTTTCAGTTAACATGAACTTAAGTAACATATCACCAAGTAAATGATAACATACCATGCCTGCAGCTGATGAACAAAACCAGATTACACACACTGAAAAACAATACCATTCAGAACATTTACTAAGAAAGGGGAAGAGATGTCAAGATTTTTTAAAAGAAAATAAAGCCACAAAAAACTGTGTTGGACTTAAGCAGTCCTTGCAGACATTTTAAGAAAATGTATTCTAAGTATTCTAAAAAAGCACTGAGATAGATATGCCATGACGTTGTTCTGCCACAAACAGGTTGTAAGTAGAGCTAACAGAGGAGTCTTCTCCACTCCTGTATTTAGATGCAGGTGGCTCCATGTGAGCTAGGAGTCTCATTTTCCATCATAGGCAGTAGAGCCAACGAAGCCTAGAGAGCTTCCAGCGAGGTAGAAATGAGCTTGTGAGGCTGTAAAATAGAGAGAGGTGCTGCATCTTTGTGGCAGTGCTATAGGGACACAGGAGAAGCCATGGCCTAGATGCCTCAATCTGTCTTCCTCACTTTCTCCCTCTCTGATAACACGGAATTTAAGGCAGCTGCACTCCAAGACAAGCTTATGCTGCATCGGCCAAAATTAAAACGGCAGCAGTTCCAACCAAGACTCGCAAGTGACCAGGGCCCACATTCAGCACTAATGCAGGAAGACATTCTCGTTATTAACTGGATTTAAATACTGGCCTACATACAAGCACACTGAAATGAGCTAAAGCTTAGGTGACAACACACATCACAGAGACATTTTCTGATATTCCACTTACACAATGAAAAGAGGTTATTCTTGCCATAGTTAGAACTTTCAAAGCATAAAAAATAAATCAGGTAGGGTGCCGTATACTCGGTTCTTTCTGATTTATAATTGGAAACTTCCAAGTTGCAAAATGGGTAGGTAATGAAAAAGTGAGGCAAAGTACCTCACTAGAAGTGATAGTCATATTCAGAATTTGTGGTTTATTTCCTGAGCCTGTCAGTATTCCCTAAGTTTTGTCCAGGTTAACCTTTGGCCAAAGGCATTCAGTCAGAACATGGCTGAAGTAAAAAGATAAAGAGCAGAGGAGGAAGCAGAAATAGGACAGCAGTAATCATCTAAAGGCAAATGGAACCAGAGCATGTTCCCAAAATATTTTTTTCTTCTTCTTTTTTAAACAAGGCATATTTAGATGCTTTTGCAGGGCGCTAGAGTTAAAGGACATCAAAAATATTGAACTTTCGCTTTAACTTAGCTTTCCCTGCAAGTATATTAATGCCCTTAGGGCAACCAGGAGAATGACAGGTATTAAAAATATTTATCTAGAGTCCTGTGAAGTAGTTCAATTTATTCTCAACAGGAAGCTCTGAAATGACCAACACAATGAAAATACCTACATAGCAATGAATGACTTTGATAAAATGGAGTAATAGTTATTGCTTGTATTAATGATAGAGATACATTT